ACTTTTAGAGAACCACTGAATGGAATGAAACCAAACATGGCATGAATGTTCCTAATGAGGTGCTGACCAAGTGTTTTTATTTTGTAGCCAATCAATCATCCAAGATGGCTGCCAGCGGGGAACTTAGTTTAACAAAGGACCCTTAGTGAAATAAATACAAAAGTCTTCTTTTGAAGAACCACTGAATGGAATGAAACCAAACATGGCATGAATGTTCCTTATGAGGTGCTGACCAAGTGTTATTACTTTGTAGCAAATCCATCAACCAAGATGGCTGCCAAAGGGGGATTTAGTTTAACAAAGGACCCTTATGGACAATACATACAAATGTCTTCTTTTTAGAGAACCACTGAATGGAATAAAACCAAACACGGCATACATGTTTCTTATGAGGTGCTGACCAAGCGTTGTTACTTTGTAGCTGATCCATCATCCAAGATGGCCGCCAACAGGGGACTTAGTTCAACAAAGGACCCTTATGGGAAATATATACAAATGTCTTCTTCTAGAAAACCACGTAATGGATTGAAACCAAAAGTGGTATGAATGGGTTTTTTTTTAGGTGCTGACCAAGTGTTATTACTATGTAGCTGATTTGTCATTGTTCTTATAAAGTCATTTTCTACAATTTCAATGAATTTATTGGTAATTTCTGTAAACTTTACAATTTAAGTCTTCTGCTTTTGATTAAGTTACAGGGCCAATATTAAACCGAATTTGGCCTCAATCATTATTAGGGTATCTGTTATGATTTTAATCTATTTTTACATGATTTCCAAAACCAAAGTAGAATCATGAGAGCCTCTAGTTTTCATTCCTGCAGAAGGTGCCAAAATAAACTAAGTATGGAAAGAGGTTCGAGAAGCTCTCCTCATATAATAAATGTTGCGAATAGTATTGATTTAAATGGACAATAGACATCTGTAGGTGATTTAAATTGTGTATCAAATGAAACACATGTGTTTGTTTATTTTGCTATCTTCTGCGGGCATATGCAGACTGGGAAAAAATGCACATCAAAATCCAGGTAAGTTTATAATTTTCTGAAGCTTTATAGACTTCATATAACTTTTATCTAGATCTGCCATGCCTGAAAACTTTCCTACATTTTGTAGATGCCTCAGTTTATCTGTACTCATAGTAGATTTTGTGGTGTAAACATGGCCATATTTTTCAATTACTTTTGATGAACCTTAATATAAAAAAAAACAAAAAAAATGTACTACATTTAGAAAATGAAAGGACATGGAGTAAATGTACATGGGACAAAATCGCACACAATACATAGAAAACATAGAAAATTATCAATGAACAGGGCTTTTATTCCTGTTCTTCATCTTGACAGTTGATGTACATGTATAAGTAAAAATGTTAGAATTGATTTTGTTTATAATTCTTATTAATAAATTTTACTGTTTCTACTAAGCCAACATGTGTAGTACAAGTGACATAATCTTCAATGTGTTCAACAGTTGAAAGCGGTCACTTCAAAGTAGAAGTCTTTATTTAAGCATATGTCTCTGATTAATCCAGACCTGGGGTCAATTACATGCCAAAGTAATTAATTACATTGCAATTACATTGCTTTTTAAATGTAATTAATTACATCACAATTACATTGATTTTCAAATGTAATTAATTACATTAGAATTACATTTCCAATGTAATTAATTACATTTCAATTACCTTTGTCCAAAGAAATGTAAGAGCTTCATCATTTAGAATAAAAAATCGCAAAAGTAACAACAGTCTAGACAGTAAAAATATTTGTTGATGAATTGTTTTTAAGTTTTTCAAATTTCTAACGTCATTGTTACATATAATCACCATTAGATTTTCACTGTGATTATTTGATTGGATTTCTTATTTTTATGGGAACAAATTTATATAATATGTATGTAAATCTTATTCTTAAAAAAAAAATTCTTAAAAATTTCTACTAAAAATGTTAATTTAGATGTTTTAAAAAGGTACCTCGTGTGAAATTTGAAGGAAACTTGAAGCATCTATTTATTACATAAGAACTAATGGTAGCATATTCAAGACTTGTCTTTTGGCAAGTCAAAATTGTTAAGTACATTGGGCTCCATTCTAGTATGTTTTGACTACTTTATTTAAATTTTGTAGAAAGTATTCAAATAGTATTCATCTGAACATATTTTGCCATATAAAAATGATGGTTTAAAATAAAAATTGCCTTTGGCATTTTAATCAAGGGTCAAAATTTTTCTTGATAATTAGCTAAGTGAAAGGAATGACCTGAGGCTAAGATTATGGTAATTGTTAGAACAACATATTTACAAATTGTATGTAAATAAATTGGTATTGTTTTAATTTTTGATGTAAACATGTGAAAAATTAATGAATTGAATACAAATAAAGATTATTATACATACTATAATTATTAATGAAATATCAAGGAATGATATATTTTTCCATCATGATAAAAGTTTAAAAAGTATTTGAAAAAATTAAAGCACCTAACTTACTAAATGTAGGAAAATAAATATAAGTTGCATCAGAATAGCCAAATATGTTTTAAATTTCCTAGCAAATATTAAAATGTAATTCAAAGTAATTGAAAAGTAATTCACAATTACATGGCGAAAAGGCAATGTTATTCATTACTTTCAATTACATGCAATTGAAATTTGCTCAATTACACATTACATTGAATTACTTTCAAAATTGTAATTAATTACAGCTAATTACAATTACATTTTTAACTACCCCAGGTCTGGATTAATCTATATATAGATATATAAACAGATTGATCAGAGACATATGGTAGATACAATAAGGTAATACTATTTTAACCTGTGACATGCATGCAGTAGTATCATGATAAATATGATGGATAACTTTATTCCTAAAGCAGAAAGAAAAGAAGTAAAGGTGAGCTCAGTGTACGACAAACCCAGAAACAGAATTCGAAATGAGATTATGATAATGCAACTCTTTACCTAATGTAAGCAAGTGTCCACCACATGCTTAACAGGGTTAGGATTCCTTACTCTAAGACTGACAATAATAAATGGGATTAACCCTAACTTCTCTTCCCGTCAAATTGACAAAATAGAACGTTATAAAATGATGATGTAATGTGATTATGCCCCCGTAGTTCACAATGTATCTTTGGAAAACTTATTAGGAACTGAGCATTTTCTTAAATTCTTTACATAGATATAAAGAAGATGTGGTATGAGTGCCAAATGAGACAACTCTGCATCCAAGTCACAATTTGTAAAAAGTAAACCATTATAGGTCCAAGTACGGCCTTCAACACAGGGTCTTGGCTCACACCGAACAGCAAGCTAGAAAGGACCCCAAAATGACTAGTGTACAACCATTCAAACAGGAAAATCAACGGTCTAATCTGTATAAAAAACGAGAAACACTTATGAACCACAACAACAAACGACAACCACTGAACAACAGGTTACTTAGGACAGGTGCAAACAAATGCAGCAGGTTTAAACGTTTTAACAGGCACCAACTTTCACCCTAACTTGAAACAGTGGTATAACATTACAACATAGAAAGACACTTTAAACCATCAATTGAAATGGCTAAACTAGATCAAAAAGAAATATTAACAAAACAAGTAAACATACACTGAACAAATAAATTTGATATGAAAATAATGATATGTTTTGATATGTTTTGATAACGACTATGTTTTCAAACACTCATTGTCACAGGCAAAATGACATGATTTTTCGAAATAAAAATATTGTCTTTGTGTGACTCTAACAATTCTGTTAAGGTTAAAACTGTAAAAGTCTCTGTGTTATTATTCCTTTACCATGTGTAATCAATTGAATGTTTAAAGGGGCATCATTGGGCATTAGCTACGCAATATAAAAAAAAATCATGTTTTTTCTTTTTTTTTTTGTTCAATCATTAATGAAAGTGAAATAATAGTTCGCTTTTAGCAGCCAGTTTTAAGTTCAATCCTGTTCAAATAAGAAATATCAGTGACGAACTATTCACTTGCAAGTGAATGATTCGACCTCATTGGATCAGTTTTCATGTGACCTTGAATTTAACCCATTAGCTACAGGTTATACATTTTTTATTTACGCAAGTTTTAGTCATGTTCAGTCATTAAAAGGAAACGAACGTCAACATTGAAAGTGAAACAAAGGTGAACCATTTCTTTGACTGATTCGAACCACAAAAAATCATTCTTATATAGGTAAGATCGATGATTAAATTATTTTTATAACCTAAAACATGAAATCAAACAGACTTAGAAAAGTCCAATTGCACGAAGTCGCTATCTTTTTATGTTTATGTTTATATCGGGTGATGTGACCATCGGCAGTCTTTGGAGGTCATCTCGATAGTTAATTAGATGGTGTCTAGACTAAAATACACACGAAATGCTGATATATATTATCGAATTCGTGCATTGTTAATTGTTTATTTCAGACTTATTTTAATTTGGATATATATACTTTTTACTGTGTTACAGCTTGAATCTCAGGGCAGAAGGGTGCTAAGTTGTCTGAAACGGTTTTAGTATATTATAAATCAAATATGAAAATTTGAGTCAAATTAGTGAACATAAATTTGACAGCTAATGCCCCTTTAATGGGCCAAATGTTTTATCTATTTTTCATTTTTTGTATTAAATTAATGAATTAGTTTCTCTTAATCCGACTCCAGGCCTGTAATAAAGAGGAAGAATAACAAACAAAAGTATAGAAAGAAGTATAAATGTCTTGCTAGGAAAATATAGCTGCTTCCAAGGTAGTCTCCCTTGATTACACTACAGATCACCCCATGCAGGAACACACAAGATTGCACACTGGCAGGGACAGTAATACATGTGAAGTGTGTGGAAAAGAGTGGAATAGTGAGGCAAAATTAAAGACACACATGAGAACACATACGGAATCTAAGGATTTTAAATGTGATGATTGTGATAAAGAGTTTCGAACCAAACAAACTTTACAGATACACATGAGAATACACACTGGTGAAAAAACTTTTAAATGTGGTGTATGTGGAAACGGGTTAAGGCAGAATCACCAATTATTGAGACACATAAGAACACACACTAGGAGCACTGATGATCAACCCTATAAATGTGAAGTATGTTGAAAGGGGTTTGGTCTGAGAGAACACTTACGGAGACATATGCATATACATACAGGAGAAAGACCTTATAAATGTGATATATGTGGTAAAGACTTTATACAAAATGCTGAATTAAAGGCACACATGAGAACTCATACTGGTGAAAAACCTCATAAATGTGATATATGTGGAAAAGGATTTGGTCAGAGAAAACACTTGCAGACACACATGGGAATACACACAGGTGATAAACATCATAAATGTGATGTATGTGGTAAAGATTATCTTCACAGTCATAACTTAAAAGCACACGTGAAAACACATACTGGTGAAAAACCTCACAAATGTGATGTTTGTGGTAAATCATTTCTTCATAGTCATACCTTAGAAACACATATAAAAACTCATACGGGTGAAAAATCTTACAAATGTGATGTATGCTGTAAAGTATTTAGTCTAAAAGGTAACTTACAGAAACATATGAGAACACATACTGGTGAAAAACCTTACAAATGTGATGTATGTGGTAAAGCATTTAGTCAAAATGGTATCTTACAGAGACATAGGAGAACACATACTGGTGAAAAACTTCATAAATGTAAAGTATGACGTGACAAAAATTTCAGTTTGTGGCAGAATTTCCAGTCTTATACCATTTCCTGTTTACAAAATTAAATCATGTACAAACTACAATACATCTCTGGTCGATTTGTCTTGTCCACCAGCCCAAGATGTTAGCCATGTAACTTCTACCAATTCTTTATATAGCCCCACCCCTCATCATGGTTCATTGACTTTGAAACTTTTACATAGTTTACAAGTCAATGTTTGTGTTTAGGTTTGTTTAAAGGGAACGACTTATGATAAGTCTATGGTATTTGGTATGCAGTTGTATTAGCATTGGCACATCTCAGTTCCATGGAGATTGTTTTGCCATGTACCTTCAGTCATGGTTCATTGACTTTGAATATTTGCATAACTTACATGTTAAAGTATTTCTATTTTAATTTCAACATTTGCATTATGATTATCAGAAGTACAAAAAGGCAAGACATATCTCTGTGACTGTGTTAACAGTTTATAATACTATTGTACACAAAACATAATTGAGCACAACATGCTATACTAAGTATATCAGTAAAATTGAGAATGGAAATGGGGAATATGTCAAAGAGACAACAACCCGACCATGCAAAGAGCAGACAACAGCCGAATGCCACCAATGGGTTTTCAACGCAGCGAGAAAATCCCGCTACTTTATATCTTATTTTTTTGGCCTTTAATTTGATGTAGATTTCAAATTTTTCAAAATGTATCGACAATTTTTCGCGACACTGTTCAACAAGTACTTGGCATAATGTATAGACAAATGTTTGTTTCTGTGGACTGCGTTAGACTAGTACTCTCATATAAATTTGTCCCATGCACATTTGTCTTGTATCCAAGCACCCCTCTCGGCGAGATCACCATTCCAAGGTGTGTTCGACTCCGATCGTATTTTACAAGGATTGCGATTTTCCTACCAAAGGTCGGAGATTCTTTTCGGGTATTCCGGCTTCTTCTACAATAAACACTGACCCCATGATATACCTATTAAGCAGTTTAAAAGCTTTATACCAACAAACCAACAACAAGAAGTAAATATATCTATACATAATCTGCATACAAAAATTGTTCCTGAAATGATGACTGTTTTCTATGAAATTTTCTATGGGGTCAACTAAACATTAAAACTGTATGAATATTTTGCTCCATCAACTAATTGTGTATAATATATATGTGGTTTTTTTTTCATCTGAAAGAACATGTTAGAAGTGTTTTATTGACAATTATTTTTAGACACCAGGATGGATGACTCATGATCTTGAAGTAGAATGATACTTTTAATTATATATAAATAAAGGCAACAGTAGTATACCGCTGTTCGAAACTCATAAATCGATAGGGATAAAAACAAGTCCGGGTTACAAACTAAAACTGAGGGAATATTTCACTTTAAAGAGATTAAAGTCAAATTATTTCCACAACAACAACTCTACCGGAGGAGAGGGAGGTTACTAGAAATGTATTACTGTTTTGTTTGAACCTTATATCCCATGGCTTCACTTTCCCAATGTCTTCACATGAAATTATTCTTATCAGTTTTCCTGATGGTGAAATTTGATGTATATTGCTTGATTTCTTAGAACAAATGTAAAGGTTTCCAAGGAAATCCACATCAATTCCTCTCGGACTGGACAATTTTTGATTTTTGTAAGTAAACTGTTTCGTACCACCGGATGTACAAATCACGCTTTTCGGTCCATCGGCATAAACGTAACTGTTGCTTTCATACGCACATATATAAAACGTATTACCATTTGTTTTTGTTTCTTTAATTTTCTGACCGTTTGTCGCATTTAACCACACAATAAATGTATCGCATGCAGTGATCGACAAATTGGTTATGTACATTTATATAACGTAATCCACCAACTGGTACAGGAAGTACGATTTTCCATCCAATGGTCATTGTGTGAATATTGATCAACTATATTTCTTGTGAATCTATAAAGGCCACTGCTAACTTATCTTCTCTGAATTTTGCGATATCATATGGTCCATTGTGAAACTGAATATCTGAATGAAATACGCCGTTGAGATAAAACTTTAGGAGTTTTTTCTTATATAAGTTACTTATGAAAATGAATTCTTCAGTAAATATTCCTCAGACTGCTGACCATCTGTTATCCCCTGCATCAAGAGTAAAGAGCGAGTTCACCTTCCCAGTATGGAAGTTAGGTTCTTTCTGGTTCGGAACCGAATCAATTGAAGAAGACCAAAGTGACTCTGACTGAATAGTTTCATGTTTACTTTCAATGCGGATTTGGCCAAGAGATTTAACCTCTTCTTCAAAGTTTTCTACTACACGGTTTCTTTCAAAACTAAATGATTTTTCATCAATGTCTGAAGTAGCTTTAACTATTTCAGCTTCTATTTTATCTTTCATCGGAATCAGTTTGTTGATCTCAATCAAACACTGAATATCGGACCCATCTTTCACACATGTACAAACAAATCATGTGCCAGTTATCTATGGTCGACGTTAAACTCGACATTTCAGTCAGTTTGTCTGAAAGTTGTATACGTATTTCTTTCTTTGTGATGGTCAATTCGGCTTTTGCAGCTTTTTCCATTTTATTGACATGTTCCATTATGTCTTTCTTCAAACTTTCGATTTTTGAAAATATATTGTTATCCAAATTTTCAACGCTAGCCATATTTTTCTCTGTGTCTTCGATGGATTTATCAAGTATCGTTTTCCATTGCATAATAAGCTCTAGAAATTCAGTCGTCTGCTTTGAATCCTTAACGCCGGCTGCAGCATCTTCTATTACAACGACTTTTTCGCACTTTCGATGTTTTACGGTTGCGCATACAGTGCAGCATGGCTTATTGTGATCTACACAATAAATCATTATAAATTTATCCGAATGGTCTTCGCACGTGATAGAACAGGAAACAGCCGTTGTCTTGTCTGCTTGTTCCTCTTGTAATGTAAGAATTTTATGGTTGGAGGACATTTTAAACTTACGATGGTAGTTTTCGCAAGTACAACACAGTGCTTCCTGACACACGGTACACCATGACACAGCCTTTTGATTAACATTGCTAAGTTCGCAAACGTTGCACAGTTTTTCTTGCTTCTGTAAAGCCTTTCGGTCAATCATCGATATAATTAAATGATTGTCCGTAAGTTCCTCTGCCCAACATTCCCGATTACTGGACTGCTCACCAATAGACACAAATTGTCGACAAACGGGACAGCTGAAGCCTTTATTCCCGTTTTTGTCTTTTGTAACGGAAGCCAAAATGTACTGATTAATGCATACTTTACAGAAAGTAGGTAGACATGGTAAATATTTGAGCGTCATTGATGAGTCTTATGTAGACGAAACGCGCGTCTGGCGTATTAAATTATAATCCTGGTACCTTTGATAACTATATACGTCTGTAGACATATACTACATGTCAACAGGTCATCTTCTTCTTTTCCTACTTTTACTGATCTAGTCGACATTTTTTCATGTGTCTCGTATGTCTCATGAATGAAAGATATAGTTATTGTTACATTGATAATTTATCAATATACAGTTTAATTATTGAACTTTGTAGATTAGAGATAATGCGTCTATAATAGATACACGATGAATGTTAATGTTCGTACATGAAGTACCGGTATACGTATCCAAATGAATGTCAATCATATGTTTAAAGATAATATTGCAGGAGATTACAGTGTTTTCCCGTCCTACGATACGAATAAACGTGTTTGTATTTTCGTAAGATCACCGATAGATTTTGCAAATAATGTTAGTGATTCGATAGAATCAATCAATTACGAAAACTTATTATAAAGGTTTTTTTACGTAGATATTATTGTACAGATGTTTTGATTATTCTTGACGATTTTCAATCAGTCAATGAAATATTTTGACCGTTAGCATCTGTTCCAAGATCATTAAACGCCATCAAATACATTGTTGCAATATTTCATAAAGGTTTGGGTTGGGTTGGAATCTGTCCAAGATCGCAGAAAACAGTGTTGAAACCAAGGCGAGATTTCGAAGTATGGTAAATCCAGCAAAACTTTACATCATGCAGAATATACACAAAAATACACTGTTGACAATTCACTCATCACGATAACTTAATATTTGGTGTAAATTGCTGTACTATAATTTTAACATGTTAAAGCAAACCATGACGAAATCTATTAATTGAACAAATATTGTTTATAATTAAGCATGACTTCCTTTATCATGTTTATAGGCATTTCATTTATGGATAGGTCTTGGTAATGTAGGGACTTTTTTATAATATTGGAAATTTTAATAAACTGCTTTGTAGATGGTAGAAGACACAACAATTACGATGAAATGGTAGGAATTGTTTAAGTTTGTCAAATGTTTGGACTCCTTTGGTTTTTTAATTTTCCTGATTGTGAGTATGGATGTAAATCATGTAACTTTTAGTAAGGAAGTAATTTTTGGTTCATTTACAGTTCAAATCAATGAATTTTAAACTTTAGTTACAACTAAATTTAATTTGACAGCAAATATTTGGTTCTAGCTCTGTACATCAAATATGATTCCATTAAATAGTAATCACGAATATGAGGTTGATTATTCTGTTTAACGTCCAGTTGCAAAATTTTAAGCCTGTTATCTATGATGAGTTTATAGATAGGAACTCTGTTGTACACAAGATCGACACAAATAATGGGACAGGTCAACGGGACACGTACCACCCTACCCGGCCATACCATTCCAAACAGACTATGCTTTGCTCTTCTAAATATCGCTTGCTTAGTGAGGAAGCAGCAAATACCATTTTCAAGTCTTTGGTTTGACCCAGACGGTTATCGAACACATGAACTACAACACTAAAGGTGATCAAGCTATATCATGAGATCAACGTGACTGTTATAATTGAATGATGTGGCCACATATAAACAATGACTGTCATTTTTTGCATTGAGTTTACCATGACATTTGTTCTATGCTTATCAACCAAGTGACATGAAATGCTTTAATATTTAGTCTTCATTAAATAAAATCCATACTACATATGTGCGTTACATTAACATAACTATCTAAACATTTGAATGGATGAATCAAGTAGAGATATATGTTATAATTAATTATAGATTCATAAAAAATCAGAAGTTTTCTCTTTAAATGTTATTTAAAGAAATTTTAGTTAGGTTATTTCTGAAACAACAACTTTCCCGGATGAGCGTAAAGTTACCAAAAATGTATTACTGTTTAGTACAGTAGATATTTATTTTATCTTAATGAATACATTAAATGAGTGTTTGATTGACAATACTGACAAGACACCCAGATTGATGAATCATGAGAATATCAAGTAAATATTTCCTTAGACATCTATACCATTTCCTCTACGATTTGACAACTTTTTGTTTTCGTCTCAGGATAAAATCATCAAAAATGCATTATATATAACTTCTGCCAATATTAGGCACACCACCAGAGAGACACACCTCCAGAGTCATTTGTAAGTGAATTTCATTTCCCGATTTGCTGAACAAGACGCACTATTCGATCCATCGGCATACACATAACTATTGCTTTCATAATAACAAATATATTATGTTTCCCCAACTGTTTTTGTTTCTATAATTTTTTTATCGTTTGTCGCATTAAACCAAATAATTTTGTTGATACATGCAGCAACGAATTGGTCATTTAAATCTAAATATCGTAAACCATAAATCGAAACAGGAAGGTGGATTTGCCTTGCGATGGTCATTGTCTTGATATTTACCAACTGAATGATCTTAGAATTAGGAAATGACACTGCTAACTCATTTTCTCAAAATTTTGCGATATCATATGGATCACAGTCAAACTTGATATCATACTGAAATAAACCGTTGAGATTAAATCAAGATATTTTGATGTGTGTTACATATAAATTCTTCAGTAAATATTCCACGCACTGCATACCCGTTGGTTTTTGACTGCGTCGAGGGTAAACAGCGTTTTCAGTTTTCCAGTTAGGAATTTTGTTCTTGCGGTTTCTGTAACGAATTGATCAAAAGATCACATAGTGCCTCCGACTCCACGCTTTGTTTAAAGATTTGTAATTTTACCGAGCGATTTTACGTTTTCTTGAAATTTTTCTAGGACAGGATTTCCTTAAAAATTGATTAACCTTTCATCAATGTTTTATGTTGCAGTTTTTATTTCATTTTCGATTTTTTCTTTCATTGGAGCCAACTTTTTGACCTCAATCAAACACTGAATTTCGGACCCATCATTGATACATGTACTTAATGTCCTGTGTCAGGTACCAACGGTAGATTTTAAACTGGAGATTTCAGTCGTTCTGTCTGTAAGTTCTGTTACTATCGATATAATCAAATAATTGTTCGGAAGTTCCCCTACCCAACATTTAGGATTACTGGAACGATTTCCAACATACACGAATGATCGACAAACCGGACACTTGAAACCATTATTAATGTTTTATTTGGAAACGGATGACTGAATGTATGTATGAATGCATAACTTACAGAAAGTATGTAGACATGGTAAATACTTTGGAGTTTTATATGTCTCTAGACATATACTACAAGTTAATAAGTCGCCCTTTTTCCTCTACGACACATTCTTGTCCAGTCGCCATTTTGACATTGTTATCTTTTTATATCCAGTTTAAATAGTATCGCTTTGTATTCGTTTGCTACATTGCATGACTTGAACGTTAAACATTTATAAAATAAATCTATAATGAAATCATTATTGATCCAAAGTAAAAAATCCAATGAAAAAGATATCGGATTCATGTGTTTATTTTGATCTTTTCCGTCCTGGCCGTTTTATTTTGTTATAATAAATATTTTTTTTGTTCTCGCGTTTTATGTTGATATTACGTGTATTTGTTTTATTTGTGTTTTCGAAAGCCTAATATACGATAGTTGTTTTTCACTAGTTCCGTTGGTTGAAACCGTTTGAATTTTCGGTTTTTATGGATTTTGCTGTCACTCCGTTTTGAAAGATTAATTCAGGTGTTACTTTCGTCCGTATGATAGACTAGGTCATTGCACGATACGAGGATTCTGCTAATTCGTTCATTGGTGATATAACGGTATATTTAGCGACACTTGAGGGTACCACATTGAGCATTTGGAGGCAGTATTTGATGAGTTGAGACAGAAAAAGCTCGTTGTCAAACCGAGTAAGCATTCATTCGGCTATGGGGAGCTAGAACTTTTTGGTCATATTGCAGAAAGCGGCAATATTAAACCTGTTTAGGACAAGGTTTCTGCTATACGACAGTTTCCGATACTTTTAACTAAGAAACAGGATGGGTCATTTCTAAGACTGATAGGCTTTTACCGAAAATCCATACCACCGTTTTCAGACATATCCGTACCGTTAACAAACCTTAAATAGAAAATGCACAAAATAAAGTTCATTGGTCAGACAAAACACAAAATAACTTTCATATATAAAAATTTTATAAGAATTGAACATGTTGCATCTGTAGTGACTCTGTATAACAGGATCGATATTTTATTTGCAATAGTTTGGGTGGTATAAATGTTACGAAATTATCTGGAGGGTAAAGTGTTCACTATTGGTACTGCTCATGCTCCATTGCAGTGGTTACAGAGGATGAACACAAGTAACCCAACGATTACACCGTTTGAGTTTTTGATTCTTCAAGAATTTAAATTTACTATTTGAGAAATTGCAGCCAAGACAAACATTGAGCATCACGTGATTAGGCACCCATTGTACTTTCACAAGTAAGTTTACACATTATAAAGCATAGTCCTGTGAGGAGTTGGAGAGTTAGTTAAAATAGCAGTTGGGTATTATTATTGTCAATTCAGAACAAGGATGTCACGAGCCTTATAATTACAACACTTTAGTAAGACATTTATACTTATTTATATGGTACATTGAGGTCTGTTTTACTGTGGAGATGATATTTCTTGCTCGCGGTCCAGATGAACAGATCATTGCTATTTTATAAAAATGTATACATTTTTGTGTTCAATGTTTAGTTTGCAGTTGTTTTTAGGCCCGATTTTGTTGTTAAAACCGTCGACATGTCGGATATAAATGGTGTCTCAATAATTTTGGCTCTCAATAATGACGACTTCAGTATGTATACTAAAGAAATTTATCCTGTTGAACTTACTTTAAATAAAGCTAATACTAACAATGACCACTGCCCTTTCCTCGATCTTGATATCTATATCATTAACGGAAAGCTTAATACTAAAATATATGATAAAAGAGATGATTTTTCATTTCCTATCGTTAATTATCCATTTTTAGATGGTGACGTTCCCTTGTCACCATCTTACGGTGTTTATATATCTCAACTTGTACGATTCGCTCGTGTATGTAACAATGTTTTAGATTTTAACGAGAGAAATTTATGTATTACTGAAAAATTATTACACCAGGGTTTTCGATATCACAAACTAGTCAAAACATTTACTAAATTTTATCATCGGTATAAGGACATCATTCGTAAATATAGCTCAACATGCAGACTTCTTATACGTTCAGGTATTTCACATCCAATTTTTTATGGAAATATTCTTTATAAAGCACAAAAATGTCAGTATTCACCTCTGAAACTAACAAAATCTTTAAATAGACTTATTAAGAAGGGATATAGTTACGATACTGTTGTCAGGTCATTAAAGATTGCATATTTTGGCGTTAATATTGATTCACTTATAGGGTCTTTGCAGCGGCACTAAACACATTTATTTAAAAACCAGTTGTTGGCATGACACGGGTTATGTTCTTCTCATATATGTTATGATGGTATGATACTAAACCCCTAACGGGAAGGATTGTGCCTGATATTCATATGATGAAGACATAATCTTTCAATCAGTTTAATTGAAGCCTGGAGCTGGCATGTCAGTTAACTGCTAGTAGTCTGTTGTTATTTATGTATTATTGTCATTTTGTTTATTTTCTTTGGTTACATCTTCTGACATCAGACTCGGACTTCTCTTGAACTGAATTTTAATGTGCGTATTGTTATGCGTTTACTTTTCTACATTGGCTAGAGGTATAGGGGGAGGGTTGAGATCTCATAAACATGTTTAACCCCGCCGCATTTTTGCGCCTGTCCCAAGTCAGGAGCCTCTAGCCTTTGTTAGTCTTGTATTATTTTTAATTTTAGTTTCTTGTGTACAATTTGGAGTTTAGTATGGCGTTCATTATCACTGAACTAGTATATATATTTGTTTAGGGGCCAGCTGAAGGACGCCTCCGGGTGCGGGAATTTCTCGCTGCATTGAAGACCTGTTGGTGGCCTTCGGCTGTTGTCTGTTCTGTGGTCGGGTAGTTGTCTCTTTGACACATTCCCCATTTCCATTCTCAATTTTAATTTTATCTGTAATAAAAATGGCGTTACATTTATTTAGTTCTGTTTTGTGTATGTTTATTAAGTAACATTTGTTTTATTATTTCCTCTATGTTGAGTTTACTTGATTCTTGTTTTCTTTATAAAATTTATCTTTAAATTTAGTTTTGTATAACATTGGCCACTTGGTAATCCAAACGACTTACTTCGTTACATTGTACCAAATGTTATTCAATTACTGACACGAGTATAAGATACTGATAAACAGTGTCATGACTCTTATCAACTTCTTAAATTTGATATATTATCTGTTCGCATTAATTCTTTTACAAAGGAAGTACAAGTATATATCTAAACTGTGGTACCTGTGTTCGACCTCTAACTTATTTTTAATCGTACGGCAAAGTACATGTGAAAGGTTGGTAGTAGATGATTTACATGGTGTTTAAACTTTCTGCAAATCATAAAAAAAAACATAATTATTTTCATGCTATGTCTTCAATTCTGAATTTTGAACCATCTTAAAACCCGGAGTGATCACATAGACACACCTTGGCTGGATAACTGTTACACAGATTTTCATGCTAAGCATATATCCACTCGTAATTCAAAGTATTAGAAAGCACAATGTAGGTGTCTGCAAAGTTTTCACAATAGCACAATTCATTCTGCTCAATATTTGTATAATTTTTCGGATTTTCATATATCTTGGGTTCGAGAGAGATATTCATTGTCGAAACGCCCATCTAAAACAGTAAAATTAATTCCGTTAATGTTATTATAGTTTACATATAAATAGGAAGATGTAGTATGATTGCCAATGAGACAACTCTCCACAAGAGACCAAATGGCACAGAAATTAACAACTATAGGTCACCGTACGGCCTTCAACAATGAGCAAAACCCATACCGCACAGTCAGCTATAAAAGGCCCCGAAATGACAATGTAAAACAATTCAAACGAGAAAACTAACGGCTTAATTTATGTACAAAAAATGAACGAAAAACAAATATGTAACACATAAACAAACGACAACCACTGAATTACAGGCTCCTGACTTGGGACAGGCATATACATACAGAATGTGGCGGGGTTAATCATATTAGCGGGATCTCAACCCTCCCCCTAACCTGGGATAGTGGTGTAACAGAACAACATATGAACAAACTATAAAAATCAGTTGAAAGAGGCTTAACTCATCAGATGGATATAAATACAAATACTACAAATACAAGTGGACGTGGCCGGGTACTTGTACATCCAAACAACAAAAAGACACAAAGTACAGACCTGAGAGTACTCGCAGTTACTGACAACTAGTTCACAGCCACTAACAACTAATAAAAAAAAACCTTGCATCTAAGACTAAATTATCAATCCGTACACATCCAACATCCAATGGATTTAGTGTAAAGACGTCATAAACAGTCAGAGAAAAACATGACCTTGTGCATTGATTTTTCCTATCTTCGTATTTTTGTTCTTTTAAAATTTATTGCATAGTTATCGAGAATATAAATGTACACAATTGGGCTACTTTCTTAGAATTATCCCCCATCATATGTATTATTTTTTTTATCATAAAAAGGGTAGCAATTGTAATGTTGTCACGCTGATAGATCCTCCTGATACCTGATAAATTTTTTGCACATTGCATCATTACGATCGTACCTGAAAGTTGTATTTTATTTTAAAAGATATTGTTGACTGTAGCTAATTAATATTTTTTAACATACTGCTAGGCCTCTATACAGTCTAAACTTATTGGCTGATTGGTTTGGTGGGTTAAATTTAGATAGATCGATAAATCAATAAGAATTTGTATTAAATTTTTCGTTAAAAGACCGACTTGAATTTTCAGAAGTTTGCATTAATTGGAAGAAGTGTCAGTTTCACGTTTACTCAGCTAACGGACCTATGTTTTCTGCAGCTACATGAAAAATTACATCAACGGACTGGAGTCTCGATTACACGAATGACGGAAGTGTGTATGGTGATTTTGTTTGCCTCAGGATTAAAGCAGAATCTTGATAATTTACAGTGTAAAAAAATTGGTACCGCTATTATTCTCAAAAGCCACACATTTTTATGGATTTGAAGAATGCACTTTCACCTTAAAGCATTTCATTGATTGAATAATATATAAAAAGGGGAAATATATTACCAAATGCATAGAAATAAATGACAAATGATCGATGACAATTTGCAATAAATTCAATATCAACATTTCAAGGTAAATGACATTTAAAGTCACGT